TCTATCCATCCCTTGGAGGCAGGTAGGGAGGGAAAGAAGAAGTTTGACTTTATATGATATTGAAGTTGCGGACTATTGGAGTAAGTTTACTTAAAACAAAAGTGCCCAGAAACCTTACTGACTCTGATCAAGATGCAATAAGGGATGAGAAAAGGAATTTGCAACTTGGTAACTATTGACAACAGGTCATGGAAACAATTAACTCTCTTATATTTTTATCTCTATGAGTCTATATTCTTTAATAACCTGTTACAAGTATATGAAAATCTGGAAAGACAGTTCAATTTGTAATCTAACCAAGATCATATTAGTGCTGGGAGGTAACCAATAAGAACACCATGTTGCTTAACTGAGCTGAAGCACCATGTTCTTTCCTCGGGCTTTTGTGAGCAGTAGTTCTTATTTCCAGCAATAGTTCCCCTTAAAACTGTAATCTGACTGTAGAATGAAGAAAATGTGGCTCAAGTTAAAAGTGGTAAAAGCATTTTTAAAAATTTTCTAAGTAGTAATAGAATGACTGGTGCTGTTATAAATACAAGCTGACAACAGGTCATGCCTTCATGATCTTAAAGTATATAAATGACATCAACTTTTTCCTTTCAAAAGTGAAAAAAAGAAAGAAATAATCAGAGAAGTGATTTGCTCCCTTAATGCATACTATTTGTTTTGCTGTCACTTTCAGTCCCTTCGCCCTTATTTATCCATTCTCTTCAACCTCCTACAGAAGCCTGGGATAGAGCAATATCTCAAAGATTAACAAAGGAAGTGGGTTAACATTCTGTGAGCTGTTTCAGTTTTGACACTGGAGGTTGTTCATGTTTTTTTCTCTGAAAGACTTTAGAATTTTTTTATGTTCAAAACCTAAGATAGCAAAGCAATTATCAAACCATTATGCAATCACAAAGTGTACTGTATTGATTTGGGGTTTCTTCACAACATTTTATTTTGTACTCTCATATTCTCTCTCTTTTCTCTCACTCTCTCCTCTCCTTGCCTCCCTCTTCTCTCTCTCTCTTTTCTATGTAGGTGACATCTCTATTCCTATCCATATTTCTTTCTGCTCTCCTTCTAGGCACATTGGAAAGCAGATGGGTTGGAAGGGAAGTGACACATGCCATATCTGTGTGGAGATATTTAAGTTGACAGTACAAGAACAACCAGAACTTTCTTTCTCTGAAATGATGACAACACAAGTAAAGAAAATGCCAAAAGCTGAAAGCACCTTGGGTTACTGAATAAACACATCCAAGACAGGTAGCTTGGAGAGTTACTTGAATACGTAACAAGCTTCAAGTGAGCAAGACACTCCTTGTTACTGCAATATTACGTAGCCAGTCCTGACTGACATACTCACTTTGCATGACCTATTTCCCCATTTTATTTTATTTTTATTTTTATTTATTTATTTATTTATTTTGAGATGCAGTCTCGCTCTGTCGCCCAGGCTGGAGTGCAGTATAGTGATCTCAGCTTACTGCAAGCTCCACCTCCTGGGTTCACGCCATTCTCCTGCCTCAGTCTCCTGAGTAGCTGGGACTACAGGCGCCCACCACCATGCCCAGCTAATTTTTTTTTGTATTTTTAGTAGAGATGGGATTTCACCGTGTTAGCCAGGATGGTCTCGATCTCCTGACCTCGTGATCCACCTGCCTCAGCCTCCCAAAGTGCTGGGATTACAGGTGTAAGCCACCGTGCCTGGCCCCCATTTTATTTTTTATTTTAATTTACCCTCATTTTTAGGCACTCCTTCATGTTGTTAAACATGCTTGATCTTCATATTTTAATTTTTCAACTGCATATTATATATAAAGATATATATATATCTTTACGCATATAAACATATAAAGATATATATATCTTTATACATATAAACATAAAGATATATATATCTTCATACATATAAACATATAAAGATATATATATCTTCATACATATAAACATAAAGATATATATCTTTATACATATATGAATATATGTATATATAAGTATATATGTACATCTATCTATCTAAAGACATAAAGACATAAATGCTAAGGAGAACCAGTATCACTGGAATATGAAGCTAGCAGAAAACTTGCCAATTCAGTTTGAACTGCAGGTGTTCACTTGGTGATATGGTAAGAACTCGGTACTGCTGCTTAAGAAAGGCACCTTCCTATGGCTGACTAAACTCAAGGTGTATTTATGGAAAGAGGATACACACTGGAATCAGAGAATCTTGAGTTTTAATTCCAATTCCACCACCACATTTTCTTTGGCTCTGAGTAATGCTAAACTCTGAGCCCTGGGGAACAGCAATGAAATGGGGAAATGATGTATCTCATTGGCAGAATTTGGGAGGGATTAAAGATAACAGATGCTAATGTATTTGGCATAGGGTTGGTAGTCAATAAAGGATAAATATCATTATTATTATTATTATTATGTTTTTCTGATAAGATTTTGGAAGTTAATCATATGCTGAAAGCTTCAGGGAAGAAAAAAAGGGTCCCAGTATTGCTCCTTTGTTCTCCAGTCTTGAGGACCTGAATAAGGTAACCCAGGCTTTGCAAACTATAAAGGATCAGAGACCCACGTGAAACACTCGGGTAGCTTGCCCACTTTACTTATCTCTTTCACGTTCTTAGAATTTTATTTTTAAAAGCTTTAGCTTGGCACTGTCTATGTAGTTTTAAAATATTTTTAGCATACTGTGCGTTTTTTAAAAGCTACTCTTCTTTTCATCTTTTGCCACCCCTGTACCTTGTGGCCTTGTAGATCCCTTATTATTTATGTATTTATTGTATTTCCCTTATTATTGGTATCTACTTATTCTTAAAATATTTCTCCTTTTATCTTCATTCTTACTAGCTGTTAGAACGTCCTCTTATTACCTCTATAAATATGAACCTCTTTATATAATGTATTTATCTGAGTGTTTGCATTAATATGTTCTTTTTATTTTTATTTACTGTAGTGCTAGCATTTTTGTTACTTTAATGGAAAGGTCTTAAAAGTCTTTTTCTTATTATGTTTTAGTACATTTGGTGTTAATCAGCCCACCTTTAATCTTTTGTGCCTTAATTCTTTCCCTTGTTATGTATCGGGTCCCGGCTCTACCTTGGGTAATTCTGATTCCATAGTGCAAGAGACTCTATTAATTCATTTTCATGCTGCTGATAAAGACATAGCCAAGATTGGGTAATTTATTTAAAAAAAAGAGGTTTAATGGACTCACAGTTCCATGTAGCTGGGAGGCCTCACAATCATGGTGGAAGGTAAAAGGCACATATTACGTGACAGCAGACAAGAGAGAATTGAGAACTAAGTGAAAAGGGTTTCTGCTTTTAAAACCATCAGATCTCCTGAGACTTATTCACTGTCACGAGAACAGCATGGGGAAAACCACCAGGTTTAAATTATCTCCCACCACGTCCTTCCCACAATGCATGGAAATTATGGGAGCTAAAATTCAAGATGAGATTTGGGTGGGGACACAGAGACTATTTTGAAACATTTGTTCAGCGGCTACAACAGGTAGAATTTATCTTTGGGTTCTGATTGGTCTTTAGTTAAGTAAAACAATTTTAGGGGACTCTTGTTTCATAAAGTTAAGGTCAATGCCCTAGTCTGGAAAGGAGAGTATGAGACAATTAATTCTAAATTTAAGTACGATGAAAAAATTTTCTAAATTGTAAACTCCTCCATTGTGTACACAATGTCTAGCACAAATAAGTGCTGAAAAAATACCTGGAGAATGAATGAATTGCAAGAATGGAAAGTGTTAGGCTGCAATCTAAAGAGGTGGCCAGCAAGTTAAATACCCTCCCTATAAAACTACATAGAACGTTCAGTGATATCATGTGATATCATGCTTTACATGTTCCTTTCTGCAATGTAATTCCCTCACAGTCTCCTCACGTCTTCAGTGAAGTTTATAATCACAACAGTCTAGCTGTGCAATGACTTTCTGCAGTCATGCAGCATGGAATCTCAGAGTATTCTTATTTAAAATTTAAAGGAATGAGTGGTCCCATCAGTGAATCTCTTAATGTCACTTGAGTTTTATGTCTATGCTTGTGTTAACTCTCAGTCCCTAGTAACTTCAGGCATGACACAAGGATTAGGAGAGAGCCTGCACTGTCTCACCATCCCTGAGAGAGGCAATGTCTTTTTCTGCTCAAATCTGCTATATTGACTTCCCAAGTCATTTCAGGGATTATGTTCCAAAATATCTGTACTGGGTAACTGAAGAGAAATAAAAGCCAGAAATCCTTCTCAAGCTCATAAAAATCTTATTTGGACAGACAGCACATTTAATTCCTAGAATAGTGTTTATTTCTCATATGACACACGTTACTGATATTTGACATTGGGCAAGTTTTGTAAAATGTACTACATATCAGGAAAGCAAAGTAGGCACACATTTTCTGGTCTGAGTTTGGCAGCAAATTAGTTGGTGTGGAACCTCCTAAGTGTTCTCAAGGAGAAGCAGTGTAGGTTAATGATTAGGTATGAGCTCACATCCAAGGTCTGTCACTTACGATGTGTGACTTGAGACAAATCATTCTGCCTCTGCTTTCCTGTGAGATTGGAAAGATGGTAATAAGTCCCACATCATAGGTTTGTTGTACAGATTAAGCAGTTATATATGATGTTTTTAGAACAAAACTTGGCACCAAGTAGGTGCCAAGAAATTGTGGCTATAGTCACTATTATGACAGAAGGAGATAAAGTAGAGGATTGATAATTATTTTTCTGGAACCATAAGTTTGTACTAGTTTCTCAATTGCACATTTTCTATTTGAGTTATATTCTTTCTTATGAGAGTAATGAGAGAATTTTTTAGGGCTGTAGGCCTCCTCAGCTTCTGTTCTTATTTTAAGGAGTAAGAGAAGCTGTCTAGAAATAATGTAGGAACAGCAGATGCTTAGAGAAGATGACCAATGGCAAATGTCAGAGTTTTGAAACAGCCTAGAAATAGAGATATTTCTTAACTCTCAAATTTAAAATAACTAAAGGCCGACTATTGCGAACAGTTCAGGGAAAGTTCACAGTCTTCGGGTCGGGCTGGCTCTTTGCTCGACCAAAATCAGGGGAGGAGGATTTAATTGTGAAGAAAAAAATAGAGGGTAAGATTAAAATAAGCCAGGAAATTCTCTGGAGGTGTTCTAGGCCTGCTAGCCCACACTATCAGTTGAAGAACTGCAAACTCAAAAACCACTAAGTTCTAAGTCAAGGCAAGTAGGTTATGAACAGTCTAAGACTGTTACAGGAAACCAGCCAGTAAGTCAAGTGAAAGAAGATGCCTTAAACTGAGGGTCTAATCTAGTGTTCAGAAACTGACAGAAACTTCAGAGACATGTGCCGGAACCTTGTTATAAGCAGGCAAGAGAAGGAGCAGGTAATACTGGCTTGGCAGCTGCCCTTCTTCGATAAATTCGTTCATATATTTGAATATTTTTAAAACACTGAATATATGTCAGGTCTGTTGATTATGCAAGAAAAAATGTATAAAAACAGACTGGAAATTAAGAGTAAACTGTAGGATTTAGTGACTGATTAGATGGGAATATTGAGGAAGAAGAAGCTAGGAGAATTCTTGGTTTTGTGGAAAGCACCAGTTTTAGAGGAATGGTGACTTTTTGTTTTGAGTGTCCTGCATGTGCAAGGACATTAGAATGTGATTTTTTATATTTTAAATGCCACTATTAATAGAATTAGAAAGGCAGACCTAGCTGTAGCAGCTTGAAGAGAAATTACGAGGTGGAGATAATGATTAAAGTCTATCCTTACCAGAAAATTATGAAGAAAGAGACATCTGGGACTCTAGCTGTAATGAGACAAGAGAGGTGTTTTTTTTGTTTGTTTATTTGTTTGTGCTTTTTTTTTTTTGGAAAAAGGTAATGATAGCTTGGCGAAAAAAAATAAATAGGGAGTGGGAGAGATTGAAAGAACTGATGGGCCAGGGTGCAATGGCTCACACCTGTAATCCCAGCACTTTGGGAGGCCAAAGTGGGTGGATCACGAGGTTGGGAGTTTGAGACCAGCCTGGCCAACATGGTGAAACCCCGTCTGTACTAAAAATACAAAAATTTGTTGGGCATGGTGGCGTGCACCTGTAATGCCAGCTACTCAGGAGGCTGAGTCAGGAGAACCGCTTAAACCCAGAAGGGTTGCAGTGAGCGGAGGTTGCAGTGAGCCGAGATCGCGCCATTGCATTCCAGCCTGAGCGACAGGGTGAGATTCCATCTCAAAAAAGGAAGGAAGGAAGGAAGGAAAGAAGGAAGGAAGGAAGGAAGGAAGGAAGGAAGGAAGGAGGAAAAAAGAGAGAGAGAGAAGAAAAAAAGAAAAGAAAAGAAAGAACTGATGGACTATTGCCTCCAGAAGAGTCAAGGAGTTCAGATCAAGCTTGGAAGAATTAGAATTTAGCAAGAGAAAAAAATCACAACATCTGGAATTAGAAGGAATGTTCTCTTTACAAATAGAGGGGAAAGATTTGTTCCAGGTGCCTAAAGTTAACTGGATGACAGGAATAGAGAGAAAAATACTTTGGCTAAGTATAAAGGTGAATGGTTTTAAATACGGTCAAAAATATAATGGATCATCTAGGGTGATTGTGAATTATTTTTGCTTGGAGATAGGCAAAAAAAACAAAAACAAAAACAAAAAAACAAAACAGCAAAATGACCATTTATCAGAAACGTTTGTAAATCTGAAATAGAGCAACTCATTCCAGTGACCCCATCCAGTGCTGATTCTTTAATTTGTAGATCTTGTTTTATACATTTGCTTTCTAATCTAAAATATCCTGGACGTTTTTCAAAGCCCTAGTGAGCAGGCAGATATTGATGTTTAAATTAAGCTTGTAGAAAGACTTTAAGTCTCATGTTTGTCTCTGATATAATAGGCAAAAGGGTGTTTTTTAAAATCTTTAAATGGCAAATAAATGAAATTAGCGATAAACCTGTATTTGGTCATATGGATCTTTGTAATTTCATACAAATTTGAGGACACATTCCCTTGCAAGTTATTTCAATAATGAAGTTAAGATCATGGGTGTTTGGAGAGAAGAAAAATATGATTCTTCCATCATGATCTAGAATAAAGGTAGTGGTGGGGTAAAGAGAAGGGAGCAAGTTGTGCCCGTGTTGAAATATCATCATTGCTCAGGACCAGCATAATGTAGAAGAGGAATCACCTCTCCTATTCTAAAATATACAATTCTATCAGTACAACAAATACTCATCTTAACACAAAAAATGATGAATAATATAGCACACTGCTGACTTACGTAATCTCCTCAAATAAAAGCTCCCACTATAGAATCAGATTAATTCTCGTTGGTTAATACTTTTGAATCTTTGGAAACAATCACTAATGCTGGTCCCTACTTACTGGTGTATACTCCATATTACATACTCATTTTATAAAAATTACTCTGGTATTGAGCATGGACTTTATAAAACATAAGAAGACTAATGGCAGTACATTCAGTAGGAAGGCGAGTGCAAAGCTTTATCCAAGAGGGACAGAGCCAGAAACAAGATGAATGGGAGCTGGAAGAAAGGGAGTTGTACCTGAGAATAACATCTTCAAGATTAAGAGCAACTTTTCTAAGGAAGCAACATGACTCTAGTAAGGCTTATCCTTAAATAACCCAAGATGATTCCTAATAATAATTAATTCCTCTTCTAAGTGATTATAAATTGAGTTTTCAATAAACATTCTAGAATCAACAAAAGCTTCTCTGATAAGATCAAGAAGTCACCGAAGAACAACAGCCTGAGGAGTGGTTGGTGAAGAAGGTTAAATGAATCCAATTACTTTGCCAAGAAGGTCTTTTAAGTTTATAGCTATAGATACAGACGGATGGATGGATGGATGGATGGATAGATAGATAGATAGATAGATAGAGAGAGAGAGAGAGAGAGAGAGAGATAGGTATAGACATACAGAATGAAGAAAGAATAGAGTAGAGAGAATAATAAAGGTAAAATATTAATTGGAGAGTATGGATAAAGGGTATACAAAATTTCTTTGTACTATTTCTACAACTTTTCGGTAAGTCTGAAATTATTTCAAAATGAAAAGTTAAAAAAATCAAAACCAAAATACAAAACCTGATTTTAAAATGGGCAAAAAGCCTGAACAGACACCTCACTTAAGAAGACATACAGATGGCAAATAAGCATATGTAAAGATGCTTAAGATCATAATTTGTTAGCAAATTGCAAATCAAAACAATGATGAGATACTACTACTATATGTCTATTGAAAGAATCAAAATCCAGAACACTGACAACACCAACTGCTAATGAAGATGAGGAGCGACAGAAAGCTTCGTTCCTTGCTGGTGGGAATGCAAAACGGTGCAGCCACTTAAGACAAAATTGGCAGTTTCTTATAATACTAAACATACTCTTATCATATGATACAGCAATCAAGCTCCTTGGTATTTCCCTAATGAGCTGAAAATTTATGCTTACACAAAAACCTGAATACAGATGTTTATAACAGTTTTATTCGTAGTAGTCAAAATTAGAAGCAACCAACATGTCCTTCAGAAGGGGAATAGACAAATAAACTGTACTACATCCAGACAATGGAATATTATTCAACATTAAAAAGAAATGCACTATCAAGCCATAAAAAGACACGGAGGAACCGTAAATGCTTATTAAGAAAGAAGCCGATTTTGGCCGGGCGCGGTGGCTCACGCCTGTAATCCTAGCACTTTGTAAGGCCGAGGCGGGCGGATCACAAAGTCAGGAGATGGAGACCATCCTGGCTAACACGATGAAACCCCGTCTCTACTAAAAATTATAAAAAAATTAGCCGTGCGTGGTGGTGGACGCCTGTAGTCTCAGCTACTCGGGAGGCTGAGGCAGGAGAATGGCGTGAACCCGGGAGGCGGAGCTTGCAGTGAGCCAAGACTGTGCCACTGCGTTCCAGCCTGGGTGATAGAGCGAGACTCCGTCTCAACAAAACAAACAAACAAACAAAAGCCGATTTTAAAGGGCTGTATATTGTGTGATTCTGCCTATATAACATTCTGGAAAAGGCAAAACTATGAAGATGGTAAGAAGATCAGTGGTTGTCAGGTAGGAGGGCGGGATGAATCGGCAAAATACAGAGGATTTTTAGGACACTAAATTATTCTGTGTAATATAATAGTGGATACATGTCATTACTTTTGTTAAAACTCATAGACTGCACAAAACCAAGGTTGAATCCTAATGTGAACTATACATTTGGGGTAACAATGATGTGTCCATATAGCTTCATCGATGGCAGCAGATGTACTACTTTGATGTGGAATATTGATGATGAGGGGAGGCCATGCATGTTATGCTTTCTTGGGGCAGGAGGTAACAGCAACTGTCTGTACTTTCCACTCAATTTTGCTGTGAACCAAAAACTGCTCTAAAAAATAAGTCTATTGGAAAGTCTATTGAAATTTTAAGAAATACAAAAATGAGCTTGTAATTATCAAAACTGTATTTTACGTCAAACGTTTGGTTAAATATAGAGCCTCAAAAAGACCTTAATATCCTTAATTTTAAGAAATACAAAAATGAGCTTATCCATACAACAAATGAAAATTTTCAACTCAAGATAGCGTTTTAACAAATCATGTGTTTGGGAGGGCTTCTACAGGCTGAATATTTGTCCTTCCTCCAAAATTCGTATGTCAAAACCTAATCCCCATTGCAGTGGTATTTGGAGGTGGGCCCTTTGGGAGATAATTAGGTCATGAGGGTGGGGCCCTCATGAATAGGATTAATGTCTCATAAAAGGGGCTCCAGAGAACTGCTTTGCACCTTGAACATGTGAGATCCTTGCAAGAAGACGGCCATCTATGATCCAGGAATTGGGCTTTCATCAGATACTAAATCTAACAATTCCTTGATCTTGGACTTCTCAGCCTCCAGAACAGTGAGAAATAGATTCCTAATTATAAGCCACTCAGACTAGTATTTTGTTTTAGCTGCCTGAATGAACTTAGAATAGACCCAAGATCTTTGCCCTGATGACATGTTTTCTTTTTAAGGGAGAAAAAAACTGAAATCTAAGTATTATTTATCCAGAAGTAATTTTCAGAGTTTATGGTTATCTTTTATAGCTACTA